TTTTTTTTTTTTTTTTTTTTTTTTTTTTGTGACACTCAAAACTGTGGCCGCTTAGTATTGCTGGTCCAAAAGCTGCAAGAGGCCCTGCTGCAAAGGCAAAGAAGAGCTGTTAAAGCTCAAAGAACACAGAGGAGGCATTCTTGCAGAGGTCATGGGCCTCTGCACAGCTGCTGTGGCAGTGCCATGTGCCCTATTCAGTCCTGGGCAAAACTGGGACAAAACCAAGCTGTTTGAAACGTAACATGTTTGTTCAGAAGCACAGACATTTCCAGCACCATTTCCTAATCATGGAAATCCAAACCTATTTTCTCCTCAATTGAGATTATTGTTGTGTTTCTTAAAAATATTTTTAGTTGCAGTGTGTATCAAAATGTTTTGCTGAGCAAGTTTTGTGTGAGTTGAAAGGTGCCAATGATGATTCCTTTCCAAAAAGGTTGTCCAAAAGTGTCACCAAAAATAAAACATGAAACAAATTTCTCAAGTGTCATTTCAAACAACAACATTCATTTGAGAGCTGGCAAGAGTGACAAGAGCGTGGTTAGTTGTCATGGGGTAGAGGATCTGAACCAGTGCCTGGATCTTATTCATTGGGAAAAAGTCCTTCCTCTCCCCATTATCTTTCTGGTATTTGAATAGCTTTCAATAATGAGCCAAGTAAGATGTTCAAAAGTAAGACAGGAAAGAAATATAGATTGTGGTTGAATGAACAAAGAAGCAGCGTCTTCCTCCTGAAAAGCAAGCTGCCAGTTCCTTGTGATTGGAGTCAGGTCTTAGGGAAGCAGTCCCTCCATCAGATCCTGGAGGAGGGAAGGACCCCAGGGACATCATGCCCTCTCATGCATTAAAGGTAACTTTTCTGGAGTGCAAGGAGATATCACCTACCTGATGCTCCACACACTGTGTGCAAAAGGTAAAATGCAGTTATGAATGGCCTGGACAGCTGATTTGCCAAACACTTAAAAATGTCAAGCCTTCTGTGTATCAGTTTTCCAGGATGGATTCTCCTGGTGGCTTTTCACAGGCTGCCTAAAGGAGTCCCCAGCATATGGCCAGAGAGGCACTTGTTGAGACACTTGCTGCTGTGTGGCATTTTTGTGAATGTTCTTGGGTGTTTATGTGATGAAGCTGTGGTGTAGGATGGACTATGCCCCTACGTGTGGCATGCACATGTAGGGACCTGCAGTGTGTATTTGGGCACGAGTTCTCTGGGATTCCAGTGTGCAAGTGCAGAAGGATGTCCTACTGCTGTGTACCAGCAAACCCTGTGGGCACATGTGCAGCTTGCAGGAACTGACACTGGAGTGGCTGCACCATGTTGTTGGAGGGACTGTGTGTGGCACCAGCAGCACAGCTGCACGAAGAGTGATAGGCAGAAACTTGCTCACCACCTCTGCCTTCCTGCACTGGCTGTTCCTCTCCTTCCTTCTGCCCCCTCCCCTCCACCCCTTCCCTCTCCCCTCTCTAATGATCTGACAGCACTGAAAGCTTTCTTGCAATTTTATTATGAGCAGCAGGGGTTTAGCTGGGTATTCTTCAATGCCTCACTGTCTTCTCCACCGTGATGCCAAACATGACATGAAAACATCCAGCAGGTTCAGACATATGGAGGGGGCTGGAGCCAGTATGGCTGAATGATGCTTCTTCCCTCAGACTGATTTCAATCTTGTCCCATTTTTCCCACAAGAGGCCCCCAGGTAAAGGGAGGGGTGGCAGTGCTGACCTGTGTGCTGCCCCAACCACTGCAGCTGTGCATGCCCGTGGCCCTGGTGCATCTCCCTTGCCTGGCATTTCTGCCACTCACTCCTTGGTGATTGATGGGTCTCCCAAGAGCTAAGGGGACACTTCATCCCCACCAAGCACTGCCACCCACCTCTAAAGGATGCTGTACATCAGTGAGGGCGTGCCCAGCCATGAGGGTTCTCCCTCTCCTGGAGGCCACCACCCCAGCCTGTGTCCTGAATGCCCGCGTCCTCGCACGCAAAGTCCTTCTCTCTCGGTCCATTAGTTTGTTTCCATGGCCAGTGGCAGGCACACGACTCTGAAAGCTGTATTAAAAGCCAGGTCAATACCAGCCCCTGCTTATTCCCTCAGGGGAAAATAAGTAAATAATGAAAGGAGGGGGTGACTTCATTTCCTAAACCAGCAAACTCTCAAATTTAGTGCTGAGGGAGGCACTCCTGTTCCCAAGTGGGTAGCATTGGAGCTCTGAGGAGAGGCAGCTCTGCCTCAGCACCAGCAGAACCAGGAGGGATGGGAGCCACTCAAAATCCGGTGAATCCATCATTTCAGAAAGGCTTTGAGGCAAACTGATCTGGCAGATGGGCTCTGGAGCCGAGGATCACTACAGGAGTGAGGTAGAGGCTGAGGTACTTGAGAATGCCTTCTTTGCCTCAATCTTTCACAGTGAGAGCAGTTGTCCTTAGGGTACTCAGTGCCCTGAGCTGGAAGACAGGGACAGGGGACACAACAAAGCCCCAAAACGCAGGAGGGAATGCTCAGTGACCTCCTACACCACTTAGACACACCCACGTCTGCGGGGCTGGATGGGATCCACCCAAGAACACTGAGAAAGCTGGTGGAAGAGCTCACCAAGCAATTTTCCATCATTTATCAGCAGTCCTGGCTAGCCAGAGAGGTCCCCAGGTGACTGGAGGTTAGCCAGCGTGACACCCATCTACAAAAAAGGGCTGGAAGGAGAATCTGGGGAACCGCAGGCCTGTCAACCTGACCTCAGTGCCAGAAAAGGTCATGGAGCAATTCACCTTGCCATGATACTGAACATGTGGCACAAGGGGAATCAGGCCCAGCCAGCATGGGTTTGGGAAAGTCAGGTCATGCTTAACCAGCCTGATCTTTTTCTATGGCAATGTGACCTGATTAGTGGATGGGGGCAAGGCTGTGATGATGTCTACCTGCACTTCAGTAAAGCCTTTGACACTGTCTCCCAAAGCACTTTTCCTGGAGAAATTGGCTGCCTGGAGAAGTGAAATGGATGCACTGGTCATTGGGTAGAAAACTGGCTCCATGGCTGGGCCCAGAGGGTGTTGGGGAATGGAAATATTCCAGGGAATGGAATTATTCCAGTGAATGGAGCAAACCCAGGCAGGACAGCTGTTCTCCCACAAAACCGACATCCTAAGATGAGAAATGACCATGTCTGGGCTTAGACACATCTTGTAAGTCTATTTGTGCTCTTTCTCAAACGCACTTCCATATACCTTCACTTTCTCTTCCCCTTTTCCCCTTCCTTCTTCACCATCTGCCTGCTGTGTCTGTTTCTTCCTCTCAGTCCTGCTATTTCTTTCCTTGCTCTTCTGTTTCTTCCCCTCTTCCTTTTACTTCTTGAACCAATTCCAAGCTGATATTGAGATGCTTTTTTCTGGTTTGTAGATCAGGGATTATGTGGAACATAACTTCTTCAGCTATTCCCCACCACAGTACAGCTACTGGGTGCCCAGAGCAGCTTCCTGAGCTCCCTGTTTGTTTTTCTGTCCTCATATCATCTGCAGTTATGAAGGGGTGATTCTGCTGCTCCTGAAGGAAAATGCTCATCATGTTTTCACCTCTTTTGTGAAATGACAGCAAAGTGATATTACAGGTCTAGCTTTGGTTGATGTCCTCCCTCATTCTCCCTTCACTTGCTGCTAGCACAAAGAGATGCTTTTTTCAATGGGGTTTTTGAATCTAGAGCAATGTCTTGCACATCTCTGCCTCTTCACCAAATGTATCTATAACCCTTCCCTGGGAAAAAACACTTGCTATCTCGAAAGCAAATAGTATTGCTTGGCCAATCCTACTGGTAATTTTAATGCAGATTATTCCCTCCCTACACACATTTGTAAGACCTTCTCCCTGAGCAAGTTCTCTGAGCCTCTTGTTATAGGTCTTTACCAGAGAGGTCCAGAACAAGAGAGCCCTCATGGTGGAGCTTCCAGGGTCCAATGCCATACAAATAGCAAACACCAGCCCTAATAACCCTCATCAGTCTCTATACCAGGCTGTGGCCTTGGAGTCTGTCCTTTGCTTCCAAACCTCCCCTTGGGATATTAGACTTTATTAAAAATAAATAGTTACAAATTCTGTTTTACAGCTGATGGCATCAGGGAGAAGAATGGAGGAGGCAAAAGAAGAAAGTGGAGGGTCTGCTGTCCAGTCAGGTCACCTGTCTGTCATCCCGGCTGTGCTGCGCCAGGGAGCAGTCTGAGTGTGGGAAGCACGGGGCTCTGCCTCCTCCGTCAGTATCTCAGGAGAGGAGCAGGACATGTTTTTCAAGAGGACTGGGAGAACTGGATCCAAGTCCATGGAGCCAAGCTGCTTCTGGAGGTGACAGACACCAAAAGCCAAGGAGAGTGCAGAGCAGCCTATGTAGAATGTCCTTGTCTCCTAGCTTGGCATTTGCCATGGGAGAATATCGATTTCAGTTCTCCTTCTCTTTTATATACAGAATCATGTGCAACAAGCAACAAACATGCAAGTAAACTCCTTCCTTGAGATCCTTCCCCACTCCCTCCAAGAGTCCCAAACTCTCCCTTCTATCCTCATCTGGTCAGTGCTTAGGTGTTGCTCCTCTCCCAGTGACGGCGATGACCCTTGACAGCCATGGGGCCTACCCATAGTGAGAGGGGACAGAACGTCTGCTCTCGCCTCAGCAGCAGAAACACTTGCTGTGTGTGGGTCCCAATCTGTCCACTGAAGGCAGGGACTCCTGTCACCTCTCCAGAGACAAGAAACCAGGCCTGCTGCCCTCCTGTCTCTGGGCAGGAAAGGGGTTCTAGCCCAAGCTGCGTACCCAGGAAGAGCAGTGTATTCTCACTCCTCTCCCGGGCATTAGGACCTTGTGAGAAAGGGAGTATATCCGAGCAGCTCCAGGCCTTGGTGTATTTGGGGCTGAGAGGCAATCATGGGAGGCATTATTTGGTGGTGAAGGAACTTATCCAGTGTATGGGTATGGAACAGAGGAGACTGTAGGCAACGGGTGTGGAACGGGGAGGCTGGAGGAGTTAGATGGCTGACTCCCTGCGGTATGAGATTGTATCTAGAGGCAGAGTTGCCTGGAGCCGCTCCAGGTCCAGGTGGCTTCCAAAATCCATCATCTGGATGATACCTCCCTCCTCCTTGGTGTTGCCCCCTAACACCACACCCACTTCATCATCATCTTCGTCTTCATCTTGACTGACAAGTGCCAGCTCATTCTCGTAGCAGAAGGCACTGGGAGGTGGAGGAGAAGGTAGGATGGTCATCTTGCTTTCTTGCAGCTCCCGGGCTGAGCAGCAAGGTGTGCCAGCTACCTCGTATGTCTTGTGAAAGCGCGAATAATCCACTTTGTAGTGGTTCTTCTCCTCAAAGACGACTGGTTCAAAGCGATGACCCCAAAGGATTTCGCTAGCAAGGTAAGAGCTTCGTGCCTGTGTGGTCATGGCCGTGGCTTCCACCATCCCCTCCAGAATAACCACAATCTCAAAATTCTCTGTCTCCAGCTCTTCCTTGCCAATCCCATAGAGGGGGCTCTCCTCATCAATCTCATGAACGATAATAATGGGTGAGACCAAAAATATACGATCAAGACCCACATCGTAGCCCACATTTAGGTCCCGCTGGTCCAGGGGGAGGTATTCCCCTTCCTCCGTCATGTAGGGCTTGATGAGCTGGGCTCGGACATGGGCCTCCACGATGTGACTCCTCCTCAGGTTGCCCACCCTCCACATGAGACACAGTTTGCCGTCCCGCACGGAGATCACGGCATGATGGCTGAAGAGGAGGGTCTGGGCCCGCTTCTTGGGCCTTGCCATCTTGGCCATGATGGTGCCAATCATGAAGGAGTCAATGACGCAGCCCACGATGGACTGCACCACAACTGCCATGATAGCCAGCGGGCACTCCTCGGTCACGCAGCGGAAGCCGTACCCGATGGTTGTCTGTGTCTCCACTGAGAAAAGAAAAGCCCCCAGGAAGCTGTTCACGTGCATGATGCAGGGCTTGAGGAGAGAGGGGCTACCTGCCACCGCTGGCGCATTGAGGTCACCATGGAAGAAAGCAATGCACCAGAAGAGGAAGCCAAAGAAGAGCCAGGAGACCAGGAAGGCGGCAGAGAAGATCATCAGCATGTACCGCCAGCGCGTGTCCACACAGGTGGTGAAGATGTCGGCCATGTAGCGCTGAGATTTGTTGCTCAGGTTGGCAAAGTAAACGTTACACTGGCCGTTCTTCTTCACAAAACGGTTGCGGTGCTTCCGCCGGGGAGCGTGGCCCTTCCCGTTCCGGCTGTGCCCGTTCATGCTGCCCAGCGTAGAGACCTTGTGTCCATCCTCTTCGGTTGAGACGATGCTGTACCTGGGAGCAGAAGAAACAGGCACTTCCATCAGGAATCCATGAAGGGTAACAGCAACCACTGAGACAGCAAGGGCAGGAGACGTGGGTGGTTCACAGGGCTACAGGACCACCCTGCTGGATCTCACAACAGCACGTTTCAGTGATTATTGCAGCGCGGTGCCAACCTGACCAAACTGGTGGACATCCGCTGCAGTGTTCACTGAGTGTTGCTGCCTGGATGTTGCATCTAGCAAAGTCCTGACAGGGCAGCAAAGCAGCAGCAGCTTGTAGCTCTGTGGTACCTTCCAGCCTTTATGGTGAGGAGGGATGCAAGGCTTTGAAACCTGACAGTAGCTGGGACAGCCAGGAAGCCTGGGAGCAAGCACCTACAGCCTGACCACATTTTGACCCTCATATAATACAAGGCTGAGAGTTTCTCTTTTCTCCTCTGCTGTGCTCACTGATTTTATGGTGTGTGGTGACAATGTTTATACACTTCCTGCCTCAGGACAATTCTGTTGCCACAGCAACATGTGTGTCTTCCAGCATCCCTTATCCAAAGCCAAAGGTGTAATTTGGAAATCAAGCCAAAGCACTGGCGGTTTCCCTGGCAGAAGCTACACACACACTTTCTGGGAAACCTTTCCCCCTCTGGCTCCCCTCTCTCGCGGTTGGCTCTGACACTGCCCCTCATGTGACACTTGCAGATTCTCCTTAAAGATGTGATGGTAGACGGTGCCCTGACCACCGAGGAAACCACGAGAGTGCACTGAAGCACAAAGACTCTGTCCTCATGCCTGACAAGCTGCAGCCTCACAGGACCCTGTGAGTCTCTCTCTCCCCCTGTGGTGTTGACATGTCAGCTGGAATCCTCCAGAATGGGCCTCCATCTCATGGCAAGGACAGCACTGGTGGCTGAACATGTGATTCCCAGGAACATGTGGCTTCTCCAGTGCTGCTGCAATCTGTAATTTCTGGTTCAGCACCATGCAGTGCTTTGCTTCTCCTCCATAGTATTCCTCCAAGCACTACCCCTACATATGGCATGTTTTGGATTGGAGAAGGAGAGAAGAGTCATTCCTTGGAACAGGAAAGCCACTGACAGGTAATTTGAGAAGAATATATGAAAAAGCAGTCTGAAATTAGGGTCTGAGGGGCCAGATGAGGAGAAGCAAGTCACTGAGGGCAGCAGCAGATCTCGAGAGGATGGTTACTCACCGATTGACTCGGACGCTGCCCATGGCTTGCTCTGTCATCGGGTGTCAGGGGGCCGTGGGAGCTGGCAGGGCGTGGGAGCTCATGCAGCAGCACTCACGTGGGACTGGGCAGCTCCAGGTTTCACCTCTGGCGAGCTGGGACCAGCGCTGCCATTGCGATTGCTCCTGGGCACGCGCCTGGCAGAGAAGGACAAAGCACAACGCGGTGAGATCCCCCCGCAGCACCCATCGCAGTCCAGAGCGGCGGGCACAGCGCTCCCGGCCTTTTGCTCAGGGTGCGTTGGGATGTCTCCTTGGGGCACCTGCCACAGCCTGGCTGGGCAGCTGAGGAGCTGATGGGTGCAGAATGGGTGCACGGCCCACAGAGCTCGTGCTCCCAGCAGAGGAGCAGGGCCGGCCGCTCACCGCTCTCCAGACCAAGGGCACGGCAGCTGAGCAGCTCACAGGGCCCTCGCCCTGAGCCATTATATTAATATCAGAGCTTACACCAGGGTGAGAGCTCAGCCAGCCTAAATACCTCTCACACAAGGACTAACAAAGCACAGCGATGCACAGCAGCCCGCAGGGATCCCCGTCAGCCCAGCCTAACCCTGAGGGGATTTTTTCCAGGGTGCGCAGAACACCCTGTTTCAAATAAAAGAAGGAAAGCAGTGGGTGGAGCCCAAAAGAACTGATGGAAAGGAAGGGCCCAGGAGTAGCCAAAGAGAAGCCAGTTAGAGGAAACAAACCTTGAGACATGCCCTGTGTACAGCATCCAAGGAGCAGCTCAGCAGCAGAGTCCTGGGGGGGTGTCCAGCAGATGTCCCAACCCAGTCCTCCCAGAACAGAAGGATGGGGAAGCCAAAGACCCAAGAGCCAACCTATTCCACCTGCCCAGAGCTGCTGGGAAGTGAAATGCACTGCGGGGGTAATGACTCACAGATTAGGAAGGGCTTTGTACACCCATGCTAATCCTGCTCTGTAGCTTTTGGATTACAGCAGCCAGTGCTGAGTGTGGATGCAGACAGAGTCAGCTAGTCTATTTCCTCCCAGCCTCACCAATGAACAGCCACTGGTTGCCAGATATGCAAAAAAATACAAGGATTTTGGGATCAAATGTAGGGCTTAGTGCTGTTTGCAAGTGGTTGTGCATTGACAGGAGAGAGAAATAACAAATGATGTTGCCCAGGATAGAAAAGCTGGTGAGAGCATCCTTGTCTCATCAGCAGTGCCCCAGAATGGGGCTGCACATGGCCAGGGATGCCACTGCTTTCCCCAGTGCTTTCCCCAGCGAGGATCAGAGACTGAAAAGCTGCAAGAAGGGAGCTCCAGACATCACCTCTGATGGGATGAAGATTACTCAGTTACTGAGGCAGTTAAAGCTCTGCAGCAACACAAACATGGTTGTTCAGACCAAGAGTGTTGTGGGACCAGGAGAAAAAAACAACCTTGTAATCTGCAGCTCACCATATAGAGACAAAAGTGAACGGCTGCCCAAAAATCCCCATCAGGAAAAAGCACTTTGACACTGAACACTGCCAGCTCCCACCAGCTCACTGCCCTACAACATCATGAAGTCAGTTTGGCCAGGAATTTTTGCTGTGCAGCTAGGTAAACCTATAGCAGACCCTGGGGCTGGTCACCCAAGTTAATCAGAAATGTTGATGTGATGGGGAGGTCAGTTCATACCCACAGATGGTCCTGCTGGGATAAATCTGACTAGAGCGATTGCATGGTGAGTTCAGACTGCGAGGTCCCACATCACTTTGGGAGGTGGCAACGTTTAGGTTGTACCAGTTTAGGTACAACCCTCTGTGCCAGCCCCAGCCAGGAGAGGAAAGGCATCCTCTTCAACTGGCATCATTCTCAGCCAGCCTGGATATGCCAAGCTCATCCTGAGCCAGCGCTGACCCCGACAACACAGGGAAGGCCCTGTCACAGCTCACACATATGAGTAATTCACAATTTCCTGAAAGTTTCTACAACCAACGACTCTCTTTCTGCAGCTGCAAAAACAGATGGAACATCTCTAGAGATTTTGGATTTCTGGCCCAGGCAGCAGCCAGCTCCAAAAGAAAGGAAGGAGGACCTGAGGCGCTTTGTGAAAACGTGTGCAGCAACACCTGGACGTCTGCTCCTCACCTTTCCCCCCTTCCCAAGAAGGGGCAAAGGAAGCAGACGAAATGCAAGGGCTTTGTTTATCTCCAGTTCAGGCTGGTACAGCTACGGGATGGGATGAGCACACTATGTAAGAGCACTGCATCCTGTGGTGCTGTGCTTCCTCCTGGCTTCCACATGGAAGCTCATGTCAGCTGGAGCTGTGGCAGAGTCCACCATGGCTGGTCCTTGCAGGTCAGAGCCTGAGCAGCCTTTGCTGCTGGCTCCACAGTGCCCAAACAGAGTATCAGCAGCTAAAATCACATCACTACCTGCTACTGGTACTTAATCACAAGGAAAGTATTTCCACAAAGGATGAAGGCTACCAGTCTGAGCACACACATTTGAGAGTGGGAAAGTAAATGCTTTTATTTGCATTAAATGGTTACGAGTGAGAAAATTATGGCCTCGGACTGTGCACGGATCCATGCAACTCACACAGAACTGCACTCATAGATCTTTCTATGCTTAAAATTTGGGAATTTTTCTGGTGGATTCAAGAACCTCAGTAACAATGGGCAGCATTTCTGAGGCAGGAACTGCCTGAGGGAGGCGTCATTGCCCATTATGAGTTTGTGGGAGTTTTGCCTGGTGAAGTCTAAGCTGTGCTTCACTGCTTCCAGGCCAGTCTGTTCTCAGTTTTTCATTCTCCAGCTTGCATCTCTCCAGCTGTCCTTGGAGAATAAAGATCTGCTGCTTCAGCCTCTCCACGTTTGTTTCGGCATTCAGGGCGCGCTGGGTCTCTAGCTGAAGATAACACTCAGTCTGGCGGACTAAGGACTGGAGCTCTTGGGATTCCCGCTCTCGTTCAGCCTGGCTGATCTTCAGCTGATCCTTCAGGCTCGCCACCATGCACGCCTGTCTCTTCAAGTTGTTCTGGAAGTTCTTAAACATTGTCCCGGCCATGGCATTGTCCTTCCTGAGTGCAGCATTCTCTCCCTGGAGCCTGTCATACTGTTCCCTGAGCACTTTGTATTCTTCCCTGAGCATGACATCCTCCCCCACGAACACAGCCCTGTCCTTCTTGAGCCGTTTGAACGCCTGCCTGAGTGTAAAATTCTCCGCCTCGAGCATGACGTTCGCATTCCTGAGCATTCCATACTCCGACCTGAGGATGCTGTTCTCCTGCCACAGTGAGTAGTAGGTCGGCTGCAGGGGCTGCGACTCTCCATCCTTGCTGTCCTCGCCGCCCTCCTCGCGCAGCACCTGGGGCTCCGCTCCCGTGGTGCTCTCTGGCTGTCCCACGTAATTGTCACTGACATGGGCCTGTGTGGCAGCGGCCTCTGTCCCCAGGTGCTGGCCTGAGCTGTGCTGGAGAGAGTCATGGAAGCCACTTGGTGCTGTACCGGCCTTTTGGGGGGCAGGAAACGGCTGATGCCCAGGAAGGTGGTAGGTCGGGCTGGGCTTCTCATCTCCAGCCAAGCTGTCGGACATTCTCATGTCTTGGTAAAATGGTTCCTGAAACTCCTGATTTTCCTTCTCAAGCCTCAGTTCATGATTGGCCAACCCCACCTGTTTATCTTTCACCATGTAAGAGTCCCCAGGAGTTGTGAAAGATGTGGGTTCTCCCAGATTCTCTGTCTTATTTTCATCTGTGCTCTTACTGCTCTTGCACGAGGGTGAAGGAGGGTCAGAACGGTGGGAATTCCCTGGTTCTTCACTGTTATCATCACCACCACCATCGTTGACATCACCTGGCAAGCCTTGAGATTCTGGGTAGACCATCATCATTAGCCCAAAGATGCGAACTGGCCGCGACATTTTTCAGGATGCTCTCAGCTGCAGTAAGCAGGAATATCCAAATTGTGTTCCTGGAGTGCAGGCCATACAGGCTGTTGACACTGACAAGCAGTGTGCCACCTTCTGCAGCCTCAGCAATGCTTGTTGTGGCCACCCAAATCCCTCTGTTTAGAACACCATAATGTTCAGGAGAGCCACACACCTCTGCATCTTGGCTCTGGGGACAACTGGAACCACCAACATTCCAAGGTCTGTGATGTCATCGAGTTCCATGTGTGCTGAGTTGTCAGAAGCAGGGGAGGGGGAGGAAGCAATCAACTGCTGTCCTGATTCTGTCTAGAACTGCGTTAATTTTCTTCATAGTACCCAGCAGAGTGTTGGCTGATAACACAGACTTGTTGGAGTTGTTGTTTAGTGGCTTACTCCAAGACAAGGACTTTTCCGTTGCCCATGGTCTGCCACTGAGGAGCTGCGCAGGAATCCAGGAGGGAGGATGGCCAGAACAGCTGGTCCAAACTAGCGAAAGGGATATTCTATACCACAGAACATCATGCCCAGGATATAATTAGGGGATTTAACTGGAAAGAGCTGATGAATGCCTGGGGATATGCTGGGCATCAGTCATTGGGTGGTGAGTAATGGGGTTGTGCATCACTTGTTTCTCTTGGGTCCTGTTATTCTCTCTCTGTGTGTTTATTATAACTATTTCTGTTATTATTATTAATAATAATAATAATAACATTAACATATATATTATTGTTATATTTTATTTCAATGATTAAATTGTTGTTATTTCAACCCACAAAGTTTACCTTTTCTTTTCGATTCCCCTCCCCACTGTGGCTGGGGGCAGTGAGAGGGAGAGAGGGGCTGAGTGATACTTAAGCTGCCTGCTGGGGTTAAACCACAACAGCTGGAAAAGGTGGTTTTGGCAGCATGAGGATAAGCTGTCCTCCAGGTGTAGAGCTGACCCCAGCTTGGGGATGCTGCCAGTGAGCAGACAGCAGCTCATGAAGCCACCTGAGACCTCCAGTGTAAAGGAGGGACAGGGGCGATCCAGCCCAGGCACGCAGCATGGCTCAGAGGGGACAGCCCTGTCCCACAGGGCACTGAGACATCTCCACCAGCAAGGTCAAGCCACTGGCACTTGGCTGGGGCTCACCCTGGACAGGGGCAGGAGACATCACCAGCACTTTGGCCACCAGCTTAGGCATCGCTCTAAGCTGAGCGGCCAGTGGAGGGTCCACGCTGTGGTGCTGCCAATCTGATTCATCCCTGCTGCCAGCTGGCACAGGGAAGTGTTAGTAATACCAAGTGCCACAAACTCAGAGTGGCACGAGCCAGGAGACGAACAAAAATAAACACATTTCCCACTTCCACCCCAATACACCCCCACAGCGCGTGGTGCCGCCATGGGAAGGATAGACAGGCAGGCAAGAAACGCCTGGGCTGGGGACTGCTGCCATGTTGGGTCACTGTCCCTCCTCAGCCAGGGCCACCACTGACATCCCTGCTGGCAAAATTGATGCCACCAGCTTGGCAAGGCCTGGGGGCTTACCAGGAGGCCAAACCCTAGTCAAACCTAGTTCAAATGGCTGCAAAAAGGTTCCATTGCAACTTGGAAACCTGAAACAAAAAGGGAATGAAAGGGGAAGGCTCAGAGGTGTCTCCAGCAGAAGGGGATTATATTCATATCCTGAACAGGCAGCTGCCTGTCACATGGACAAGGGGGAGGAAAGCCTGGCTGAGGACAGAGACACAAATCCAGAGCATGCCTGAGGGCATTTCTTGGAGCTTGCTCTGCCTCCTGAGACCCACATGTGAAGGAGGAAGCTGCAGAGTCAGTGGCAATCCTGTGGACTGGTATGAAACCAAGCTAGTGGGTGCAGCAAGGAGAGACGCTAGGCAGGAGGCTGCAGCCTGGACAGAAGCCTCCCCACCCCCCTGCTGCCTGTCCTGGGTGTACATGAGCACTCATGAGTTTATGGCCTGCAGAAGCCCCCCAGCATTTTTTGAAAGCTGCTGCAGCCAGTATGGATGTCACAGCCACTGCCTTGCATCATTGAAACAGCCAGCCAGATGGGTCTCCAGGGGCTGGCAGCTGCTTCCAGCCCCAGAGCATGTGCTACCCTCCCCTCTTTCCCAACCACTTTCCCCCTCCTGTGGCTTAGATTGAGCAATGCCAGGGACACCACCGCGGTGCTGCAGTCATCTCCTCCTTCCCGTGTGACACCGTGCTCCAGCAGCACAAGCCATCACACCAGCCCACGCTGCCACCCCAGTTCTGCTCTGGGCCTGAGCAGGCACGTGGGGCTGCGCTGCTGCTGTCCCTTTCCAAGGGATCTGCAGGATAATAAGCTCAAGGTGCTTGGTGCCGGGGCAGTACCTCCATTACTCCATCCTCTGTACACAGTGCAGTGCCTCGCACATCTCAGTCTTTCTCCAGCCCCTGCCAGAGTAGATCATATATTGTCAATCCTTCCTTAAATTTGCAATGGAAGAGTCTCATGAAACAGAACAGAAAAGTCCACGCTACAGCACTCCCCCACTTCTCTTTTTATAACAACCGTATCTGGTGCTCTGGGACATACACTGTGAGCGACAACGATGGAAAAATCCCAGGGTATTTTTACACTCTTAGTCTTTGCTTTATCTGGAGTTGTCTGGCAAATGCTTCTCTCCTGTCTGTGGTCAATACCGCAGCCGCTGGTGGCTCCACTTTGTGCCTTTGTCCCTGCTACCGGCTGCATAGCACCGGCTGCTTGGGATCAGCATCCACAGCCCCAGCCTGCCAGCTCGGGCACGGTGACAGCACGGCAGACGAACTTCTCGCCTCTCGGGGAGTCAGGGCGGAAACACGGAGGAAAAGCTGAGGAGGGACCTCTCTGCCTTTTTGCAGAGCCTCGCAGACCCGCAGCATTCAGTGCGCCCTCTCCATCCTCTTTGCAACTCCATCTCTTCTCCTATTCCTCACGAATATTCCCAGGGTTCATGCTGGGGCTCGTAGGGCAGCTCTGTGCCATGGGGGGCTGTCCTGCCACAAGAGGCAGCGGCCGAGCTCTCGCTGCTCCGTGCCGGCAGGGCAGGCTGCCAGGCGCTCTACGGGCACACGTGAAGGCGCAGTCACCGTGCAGGAGAGTTTTACCATATTAAAAAGGCAACTGACATATGGAAGGTGAGGGGAGGAAGCTGTAATCAACTCTATACCATTTTTATATACACACTTCTGCCTTTTCGTTCAATAATTATAAATAGATCAGGTGCCAACAGTCCCCATCTGCCCCTCAAGGCGTGATCCGCTGACCAGTTTCCCTCTCCAAAAGAGGATTTTATTCATGTGCCTCTGCCCGGTTTATATTTTGGAGTGGAGTGAGAAGGGGGGATATTTTTTCCCCCTGTGAAGCTCTGGAGCCTGAGGATGGGTAATATGAAAACAAAACAAAATGATTTGAAGTTAAACCATCTCAGTGTGTGACTCAGAGCTATTCATAGCTCCCTGAAGCCAGCTGCAGCAACGGAGCCAGAAGGATTCTGCCCGTATTATTATTCCAATTACCATCTGAATTAAAAGTTTGAGCAGTGATCAGCCCACATGCTGATGGGAGGGGGAGAGAAGAAAGCGAAGAGAGAAGGAGAGAAAGAGTGAGAGGGAGAAAAAACAGATAAAAATGGGAACCACACAAAGGTCCCCAGGATGACAAAGTCAGGAAGAGGCACAGAAAGGTGACAGCATCACCTCCCGCCTGCTCCCACACCGCCCCAGCGATCCCTGCTGCGGCTGCACCGTCCAGACAATGGCGCTGCGAGAAGAGCTGCCTACACCCCAGGATCTCAGACTAGCTGGGGGATACCCCGTGGTAGGGTTGGTGGGACTGGTACCGGCATTCACCCACTCCTCTCTGGCCAAAATGGGGCTGGGGGTGGACCGAGCAGGATTGTAAGGAGAGGATGCTGCTGGAGTGGCAGCTGGGGAGAAGCCCCTGCTTCTTCTTGCTGAGTGATGAAGGTGGGTGTTATTCTCTATAGCTGACATCACAGGAAAAATTAAATGCTCAGAAGGTCCCTGGCCTTCCTGGGGTGGTGTTCTTGGCCAAAAAGGAACTGAGCTTTTGTAGCAGCCAGGGTGCAGACTGCATCCCACCTGCTCCTGAGGAAACACAGGGGCTGGCATACCGCCAGCACTCTGCCGCCAAAACCGTGGACTAGACCCCAAAATGTTGGTGCAAAACCTGCAAGAGCTGAGCAACTGAAGACTCTGGGGTGTCCCTGAGGTCCTCACATCCCAGGCAGATGCAGTGCACTCAGGTCACCTCCTCCAGCTTCCTAGCACAACTGCATGGTGCAAAGGGTGTCTTCACTAATCTCCACATCCCTGGAACTCCCTTCACTGGGCATCCTGCCCCGTGGGAGCCCTGATGTAAGGCCATTCCCAGCAGCATCCCTTCACCATCTCTTCAGCACAAAGTGCCTGGCCATGTGGGATGTCTTGATGGCTTTTGGCTACTCAGGGGACAAGGATAATTATCAGTGTGCAGGAAAAGGGGGCTAAGAGTGGCTTACATCATCTGCCTGCCTGCTGCCGTTGTGGTCTTGACAAGGCAGGGATGGATTGCCAGTGACTCTGCCAAGCACCCAGCAAGACAGGTGCCTGCAAATAGTTTAAGAATGATGATAACAGCAGTGACAGCAGCAAGGGCGAGCAATAACCAGGGCAAAGCCTGCTCTGCGCCAAGCCCCGGATCGAGAGAGGCAGCAGCCGCTTCTCTGCACCCAGCTGCTGCACGACAGCTGAGTTCCCAGCCTGGCCTGGCTGCTAAGCACTAACCCCTCAGTGACAGGGGGGAAAATCTTCCTTCACCCCCCTTGTCGCCAGGCTAACAGGGAGCTGAGCAGAGCCGCGAGCCTCCTGAAAGGGCCCAGCTGCTCCCCTTTCAGCCATGCCTGCACCTTCTGGTGCTGAGGCACCAGAAACAGAGCAGAGGGAGCATCCCAGGTAAGCTGAAATCAGCATTCCCGCAGAG